TTAACCAACTCCTTAAATAGTAAGTTTTCCCATTTCACTTACAAGTACTCAAAATCCAGTTTCAAAAATAAACTTTTTCCTTTTTTCAGCATACAGGAAGAGTATGCAAAGATAAAAATCAAAACGCAAGCAAGCCTACGCACACTGTTTCAGACGAATGGACTGAGAATTTGAATGTTCTAATAATTTTACATTTAAAAATCTTTTTTTTTGTGTACTTTAATACATTTCCCACCATGTCTCTCAACACCTGCAGGCTTTTAACAATTACGTCTTATACCACCCTGCACATGGATATCCATATCTGGGTTCCCATATGTCACCACTACAATGGCTAAAGGAGTCTCAAGATACATTTTAACTGTGAAACTGCCTGATTTTTAGAGTCAAAATAAGGACCAGTGGCGTAAATCTGAGCCAGAAATTAGGGAGGGGGATGATAGGGGAAGGGAAAATGTGGGATGGATGACTTGCCCAGCATGGAAATTTAAAAGGGCAGAGGAGGTAATGTTCATGATAAAGATGTACAGAATCTTGCATCAAAACAGTGCATTTATGGCCCTAGTATTGTTTGACATTTATGAGTGCTATTGAATATATTTAGATGATTTGGGAAGGTTTAATGGTAAGCCATGTCTTCCAATTGGGAAATGTGACCACAATAATAGAGAAACCCATCCTACATGTGTTCTATAATACAGTATGTCTAAGTAGCCACTTAAATTTTTTCCTTGCAACACAAAAATGATTGCTCTTTTCAGATATAACTTCATGCCTTTAGGTCCTCATGTACATGTACATAAGTGAAATGCTACACCATATACCACATGCCTAAGCAGGTACATGTACATGTAAGCCTAACGTTACATGGCCCATACATGTACATGTAGCTAAGCCACATGAAATCTCAGACCTGCAAGTCACAAATCTGTGTAACTTACAGCCCTATGACTTTGTATGAATTTGTAATGCTTTGGGATTCTGAATGCAGCCCAGTTTGATCAAGTCAATGCTGATCAAGGTGCATTTACTTCAATCAAAACTTCAACTTTCTCAAATTTTCACCATAACAGCGGTCCACACGGAGACATCTCTTTAAATGTGATGACCTGTTGTTTAAAGACCATGCTACATGTGCCGACTATTTGTTGACAAAATTTGAGCTTTTTAATCACCACCCTCTCATTCTCCTAATGACAGCTACCTAAACACACCACGAAGTGTGTGTCAGGTTGATGGCCAACTGCTGCATATAGGCTACATGCTTTTCAGGGGCAGGGGAGGTGGAATCATATTTTCATTGTACAACTATCCTGTGTGTGTCTTGACATGATTGATATGGTGGGTGTGCGCTGTACGTTGCGAACTATAAAGCTGTAAAGGGTAGAAAATGTTGCAATGATACATGCAATACATGAAGGCAGACTAAAGCCTGGTTTCTATATTGATGTAAGGAGACACAGAGAGCATCGCTAATCTGTACTCCACGATATGCAATGATATACATATACTAGAAAAACTTTGTGACTAACGCAAACACCGACACAGACAATTGGGCCATATGGATCAGATTCAACTTTGCTGTCTGCACTCCGTTACCAAAGGAAAAATGCACAATGACATGATAGGTGTACCTCTTGCCGAGTAGTGAATACCCCTCATTTTGCCCATTTTCTCCTTATTACTAACATACATGTATATATGCAGCCCCAAGGAGCCTGTTCAGTATTACATAATAAAGCCAAGGTCTTTTGGGAACAAGGTGCACACATGAGTCGGTGAGTCATGTGTGTGACTGCGCTGATAGATCACTTTATCACAAGGCTATTCCTGAATAGCCTCGTTCTGGGCATGCTCTTTTGGAATACAGAACTGGCTTATTGTCAACAAATTATTTGACCATAAACAAAATACATGTAACTGGAGTATCTGTTTGGCTGTGGAATGATGTCATGCAGGGTCTCTTCTACGACTGTCTGCATCTTGACATGTTGCTTGCAAATGGCATTCGTTAGGACCATAAGGAAACCAGGCTTTTTAAACTCGAATTGTTTAGTCGTACAGGAGGGTTGCACAATCAAAACGAGATTCCGCCTCCCCCACCTCAAAAAATGGTTGAGTCGATATATAAAACAGTCTGCCTTCAACCTGAGACACGCAGTATGTGATGCATATGAAAGGCAGGATGTGTTTGGATCCTTATCGTTAGGAGACAGTGGTGAACAAAAAGATCCATTTTTTCCCAAAAAAATTTGTGTTGATAGTGTTGGTTAAGCCTCATCATTGCTGAACTTAACATGGCTTATACGAAAAAATACAAATTTGTTTTAAAAGGTAATGAAAAACTTGTTTGGCTGTGAGAAAACTGCAAGAGTTTCTGTCCTGTTCCAACGAATGGTGGGCGGAGGTGATTCAATGACTGTTATTTCCAGTATATTGGAAAGAAAGAACCACTTTTGTCTTAATTTTGTCCGAGAAATTTCATATTACATGTATTAAAACGTGGCGCAGCTACACTACTTGAGAAGCAAGAAAGTGGAATTTTCAATTGATGTAAATGCACCCTGAAAAACACTGATTTAATCTGCACATTAGAAAGAGTTCTATACACAGACATCACTTGACACCCTGTGCACAAACCAAATGATACGTACATGTATGAGACTGGTCTAAAAACTCTTGTTTTCTAATTAAACACTTCAATAGTTTCCTTGCTAACTTTAAAATTTTAGGACATTATCACTTTCTGATGGCTGACATGACACTGCACAGAAAAATTAGTGATGTCCATATACGGAACTCTTATTGTATCTGTGATCCTTCTATTTCTGTGCACCTAAGCACCTAAGGTTTGAAACAAGATTTCCAGAAAACTACAATGCAGTTGAAATTCTTTTAGAGGTAATTTTATTGTTACAACTCACAGTCTGTCATCAAAGCAATTCACACAATTCACATTCACTCACTTGACAAATTAAACAAACAATTAACATTTTGAAACTTCTAATACAAGTGAAGGGTCCTATTTGCACCCCTGAAGTGCTTCTCTGCGTCAACAATTTTAATGACATCATATGACACGTTAAGAGTTCATACTAGACAGTAGAGGGTGAACTGTTAGATGACACAAAGACTTCTGAATTTGTGTAGGGAGGACTCAAGACACAAACTCTGGTATCCGTGTGTAAGAAAATTTGTCGAAAATTTAAAAGGGTTAAAAGGGTTGTTTATTTCTTTTACATATAAACTAAAATTACAGGATTAATTTCCAACATTTGGGGTCTTTTACAAAATTTTCAACAAAGACAAACAATACAAGTGACCACTGGTTTTTCAATAGTGTGCACGTCCGCAAAACATTCATTGAAAGGTGAGTGCGTAGATTTAGGGGGCCTGACAATAAATGTAACTAAAAACAGGGGGGTCCCAAATTTACAATCACCAACATCTGAACATTGAGCTTTGTCAACTCAATAAATGTCATGTTCGTATCTACAGCCCTAGCCAGGCTGGCATTAAAACTTACCTCTTATCACAAATTATCAGCTAGCTAGGAACCTACATCATACATGTACACCACTAGTACACTAAATTATATGTATGCAGGCCTAGGGCTCAGGCCTACATGTATTTCATCAGATGACTGGCCATCATCATATCAATCAGGTAAACGTTAGTCTGAATTATCAATCATGTAACGTTACTCGTCATTGTCGGAGTTTAACACAGCAAAACAACACGTCGTGCTGGGCTGAAAGTAACTGTAGACACACACATTTGTTTTAGCCTACATCAGAAAGAGTAGGCTAATCAGGCATGTCAGATGAAAAACGAACTTCGAAAAATCACAACCGCACAAATTACTGCTGGCGTTACTGCCACCAGTCTCAGCTTGTTTGTAATTGTACTGCCTACTATACTGCTGGTACATAGATTTAATAAAACCTAGACCATGCAAACGGAACTTCGTACGTGTAGTACATGTACATGGATATGTACTAGTAGGAGATGGGAACCAGTTGCAACTAGTCAACTGTTGAGGGCGACATGGATTACTATAAAAAATGGCGGCCCCTATGGATGAGAGTTTAAGCGCAGTACGATAACTACGAACTTATTTTCCACGGTAGAGATTCTGCCGTTAAGATCAGTAAATATTAACCCGCCAGACGATTTGGCTCCTGAACGACAATATGGTCGACGATGCGATTCATGCTACAAATGATGATGCTGCCATGTGTAAACGGTAAGCTTGGCCGATGATGTGATAGAGCAAAGGACACAGGAGTTGCAACTCAGGCACTTCAAAGTATGGTCGCCGCCGAGTCAGACGAATAATAGCAAACATTTCAAAAATGCCTGATTACTGCCTGCATCTTAGCCGGACAAGCGGGGCCAGTAACATCCTAGCAATACTTGTACTTTTTTGCTTGCAATTAGGCCTGAATACAAATTATCGCTGTTACCAGGAAATAGGGAGAGAAAAATCCCTAATATTAGACCTACATGTACTTTTGCCATCGTAAATAAACTTTTTAAATTTTGATACACTGTTCCATTATCTACATGTATGCAGAGTTTGCAATATTATTCTCCTCCGTCCAATACATCAGTGTTCAAAGACTTGGTACGAATTTGGCTGAGCAGGAGAGCTGTTCAGGCCTTCTGTTGGAGTGTTCCTCCAAGCATGGAGGTAGAATCACAAGTGTGATTCTACCTCCATGCTCCAAGCTAGCTGAGCGAGGTGAATGTCCCTATGAGTGAGGTTTGTTTTGTTTGTTTTATTTTATAACACTTTTCCACTGGCTATCAAACCAAAAATGAAATATTGAAAGTTAAATAAAAACATGTACATAAAACAATTGACATGGAACAACAAACAGATGATGGATGCAAAAAAGAATATGCCTAAAAAGCTAGTGGATGGCACGATGGAACAGGTGACAGCACCTCTACAAAGCCATCCCACCAAATGACGACCCCCTCTCCCACAAAATATGACATAAATATGACATAGAAAAGACAGGTAAAAAATGGAAATGTTTTACGAATGAGTCTCTTTGCAATTTTGACGGTGCTTTCAACTTTGCCATTAGTCTGCGGATACTGTGGAGAGTTGGTGATATGGGTGAACTGATACTCATTAGAAAAGTCTGCAAACTCCCTGGAGCTGCATGGCGGTCCATTTTCGGAATATACATGTATTGTATCCAGTATGCCATGTGCTGCAGAGTGGCATTTTAGCCATTTGATGACAGCCTTTGCATCTTTGTTATGGGAAAGACTTTTGTTTTCGAAGTAGTCGGAGTATTTGTCAACTGTGCATAGGTCTATGCCGATGTTCTTCTGTTGCTGTGGTTGATATTTGTGAAATGTTTTGCAGGCTGAGATATAGTCAGTTTAAGTCATGTGTCATGCCTGGCCAATAGACAAGGTCTCGAGCTCTTCGGAGTGTGCCCTGTACTCAGCAATGTGCACTGTGAAGATGTTCATGCACTCATGGCCTAGCTGATTTTGGAATGACACAGCATGTACCGCAAAATATGAAACCGTCCTGGTAAGATACAGATAGTAAAGTAGGGGCATGCCTCAACTGGCAGCTGGCCTTTGTTATCTGGCCCAGCCTTTTGAGATGTCCCTGTTTCTACTGATGAGCATTCAGTGTTTTTTAGATAGACACAAGATAGTGTATTTGCAAGCTACATTTCCTTGCCTGGCTTATAGAGTATGTCCACATTGTACTGACTTCAACGTTTATCATTTTACAGCTACATGTACATGTATGTGCAAATTAAAAGCTTTCCAGTGAGTTTTTGAAAAAAATGTCAGCAGAGCGTTAAGTTTTACTTCATAGAATAAGTACAGTGAGCCAGTTTAAATTGTCCAGAAAACGGATAACTGATTACTCTTTGCTCATGATCAGTGTTGGATGTCAGATACAGACACTAAATGACAATTTGGATCAGCTTTTGCTACTGTAAGTATATTGTATTGAGGATGTTATCAAAAATACACAAATGCAGAGCTTGAAAAAACACTGCCTGCCTTGTATTTTGAAGTACTTGTATCAGTTGCCGGTGGGCACGGATTTCAACACTGTTTTTTGTGACTTTTTTTCAGAAATACACATAGAAAGGGATGTTTTGTTTAAGATAATTATGATTTATTTGAAAGAAAAAAAATTCATGCCTCACTGTAACTTTAAATTAACTAAAAAATAAAACACTAGGTTAATGGGAAAGGGTGGGAAGTAAAGATATGGTAAATAAAAGGTTTTTCTTTTCTCGGAATGCCTCACCAAACAGAATTGATAAATGCAAAAAAATATTCCTTATTCAAGATACACTAACTGGCAGATTTTCAGAAGTAGGGCGCTAGCAGTGCTCCGTAAAATGGTGTTTGCAGTGCACATGGGGGAATTATTGTATGGTGAGTTAAGTTTTACTACAGCAGATCAGACTTGGTTTACAGATAACAGTGTTCCTGTCACTCCAGTAACACCTGGTGTTCTTTAAGATATTATGCCAGTCAGGATATTAGTCAAACTTCCAGGTAGTGAAAGTGAAGCTGTAAAAAATTTAGTTTATATTTAAGAACAGTCAAAGTACTAAGTGCGCAAAGTAATTATAAAATTTAATTTATTCATTTATAAAGCACAAATTTCATACATAGGTATGCTCAAATGCGCTCTACAATGAAGACCATTAAGCTTGGAACAATGAATACATTTAAACATGATTGAGCCGATGGCATACAAGGGCACCTCAGGCAGCTGCCAAACGACCCACATTCACCAACATCAGAAAAGGGGAGACAGTAAAAAGCAGTTACAGTTTTAGAGGTGGGAGGAAAACCCCAGAGGAATATTCTGGGTAAAACCCATAGGGAGGGTAGGGACTGAAAACCCAATCCACATGTGGATCAGGCTGGGAATAGCACCCGGGACCACAGAGGTTGAAGGCGAGGAAAGAACTACCTTGCCAACCCGACACACTTCACATGCACGTTGTGCATTGTGCTGTAAAGCTGAGAAGGAAAGGGATATTCCAGCATATTTATCCACACAGTGTGAAATGTTGCAAAAAATACAAGTTTTGTACCTGAAGGCAGACTTAAACCTGTTTATCTACAGCAGCAGAGGACAGTCACGCAATGAAAGAAAGACTGCATCCCCCACTTCCAAAAATGGTTGAGCCAATTATTAATTGTGGCGTTGTATCAAAGGGAAATAACTACATGTAATTAATTATATATAACGGTTTGCCCGCACCCAATTACATGTAATTAGTTAAACTACATTGAATACAATGACTCTACAATGCATTTTTTTTATGATTTCACAAGGTCTATATAGGCCCTACTAGTACTGTTGGTTTCTAGTGGCATGATCGCCTCCTCAAACTAAACCCCTCCCACAGAAAACAGGAAGTAAAACAATTTTTTAAAATATGTTTTTCAAATTTATGTTTTAATCAATTTGAGGCAAATGAATTGTAACTTCAAATAATTTATCACTGCGAGACGTTGGGGATCCTTGTCACTAAAGTCGGTCAATACTAGGCTTGGGCGGTATTGCCTTTTTTGATACCGCGTTATCCATGAAAAAAATACCGCGGTATTTACTAATACCGCGGTATTCGTTGCAGAAAGCAATGATGTCATCAAAAAGCAGCGGCGATGCTGAGATCAATGGCAAACCACAAACAACACCAGGGGCCAGCATAAAGGGTTTTTAACGTCACAAAACCCCCTAAACTTAATAACTATTATAATTTATCTGTCCATATGATGGCAAATAAAAATTATTTATGTGAATGAATTTTTTAAAAAAGGGACAGTGTTTTAAATACCGATTTGTTGCTTTGCGATTCATATCTGTGTGGTCACTCGTACATGTTTTATTCCTCCATGCTCGTACGGTGTCAAAATCTGCACATGTGCTGCAGTCAAGTTGGTACTCACTGAGACAGTGTGATATTGTAATGATTACGTGCGGGTTCCCAATGGCTGCTCCTCTTAGCTGCGCCCTAACACTGCGCGTGTGCAATGGTAAGGTGGCTTTCAGAAAACTCTGCGACGCGGCAGTCGACTCTTTATTACGAAATCGGTTGTAACGAAATTCCGATTACAACAAGCACATATCTGTGGTCCTGGTGAAAACGTGCATATTTCTATGGGGAGAAAATATGTTACAGCAAAATAGCATTGAACGAAATTGCTGGTACAACGAAAGGTTTTCGTGACTCCGTTGCCAGAAAAACACTCTTTACGACCCATTCATAAAGCGTTTGCGAATCGCGGTGGTAAAAACACGTGCGCGGTTGCACCACACTCAGACACTGGTTCCTGCTGGGCCGAACCATTGCCAATGAAGGCATGATGGAAATGCGGCAACCAGTCAATGTACAGGTTCTGCCTAAAAAAGGGTCGTACGTTCCACTACATCGAATGCAGCTCTATAGTTGCAAGTCGAAAAAACACTGCCGTCACAAATTTTTCTGCAGGTTCATTCACAAAAATTGATCTCATGTCTGTGTTTGTGTTTTCTGTGTTCATGAATTTAATTTGAAGTTGTACTGCTTGTACTCAAGCGAGCGTGCTACCACAAAATTTCCAACACGATATACAGACATCGGTTGCCAGATTCCTGTTGTCATGACATGCATAGTGCACGATTAAAAAATCCATGATATTTTACATTCATTACAGAAACCCCAAAACAAAAATTCCCTACCCATTTCCGATAAAATACGCCCCAAATAAGTTCGCATGACCATTCTCGTATCCGAAGAGTCCAACTAATCGCCGAACACTGAATTATTCATATTGCTGCAAAAAGATCTAGCGTGCCCACCAATGAGACAGTGCGTTTTCATGACGTACATTTGGCAAGACACAGCTATCCAATCGCAGTACTCGTTCATGACATTATGCTTCCTCAGCTTCCATCTTGCGCGTGGGCGGCCGAGCCGCAGTGGGCGAGTGATCTCGGACTACCAATCAATCGCGTCATGCAGCTTGTGTTAAAAATCAAAAGAGAGGCAAAAAATTAAACAAAAAAAAATGTCCCCCCCGTGACACGATTTGTGTTGGAAAGACTACTTACATGGATGGGGGCTTTAGTTGATGAGCCTTCACATTCTTACAGGTACATCCAGGCCTACATGTGCATGCAGGTTAGTTACTGTTGGCTTCGTCGTCATCCATGGCGATTGAAAGTCTTTTAAAAATCGATCGATGCTTTCACATGTATTTGCTTTTTTTAAATTTCACATGCACATTAAACATGTTGTCCTATGACAGTGAAGTTTATTATTCTAAACACATCACAAGGTATTTGATTAATCATAACCGAGAGATCTTTTTGATCAACCATGTTGTCCTAATTTTATTCGGGAAAAACTGAAATACAAGCAGTGACAAGTGAGGAATCGGGTTTTTGCTTCTCTTTTCGTGTGGTTGGAACGATTGTGAGAACAATAAAAAATGATCATTGATTGCCCTGGGTGTCGAACAGATGCAGATTTATGGAATCATTTTATAGTTAAAAACACACATTCCTGGCTTCTGTTAGATAGATTTTCACACTCTACTTGTACATGTTGTATATAAAGGACAAAAAAGACCCTAAGATAGCACAAGGCTAGCACAAGCAGCATTCGCATTTTCTGATCCGCCAATAGAAATCTTTGAAAATAAAGTTCAGAGCAGACACGGAAGACCAGCTGATTTTTAATTCCCAACCTGTAGGGCTATGATACATGTACGTGTATACATGTGCCAATGAGTAATAGAAAAAGCACTGCCTACAAGCTATTCCAAAACTGCAAATTTGACGGTGGCGATAGGGAAACAAAACCTTTTGACAGGCAGGTTGATGGCTGCATGCTGAAGTATCACGTTACGTCTTATCTCCTTACTAAAAGAGACAATACAAACGTGATGCTGGATGACTGAAACCACAAAGTATGCAGTCACTGTTGTGGATATAATTGTCTACTTTCATCGCATGAGGGTTGTGGGAACATTCTGAACAAATTAGCCAGAATACCGCGGTGTTGAAATTCAATACCGAATTAGTCGGTATTCCGGTATTCATGGATTGTTAGGCGGTATTGCTTGGTATTAAAAACAAAACCGCGTATTCTGGAGGAATGATTCTGGGGAATGTGAGTGATGGGTCTACCCATGCCACGCTGGTGCCCGCTACCATCAGTCGGCCTAGAGGGAATTTGATGCAGACTTTGGAGCCTGGTAAGTCCCCTGTTGCTACTCCTGTTGAATTAGCTCCATAATCTATGCTTTCAGTCACTTCTTCCAGTTTCCTACAGTATCTGCAGTATCGGGAACTCTGGCCCCAAGCACATTGTCAGTTATTTCCTCTTCCGATTCGAATCTAGCTTTAACTAGTGTATGTGATGATCTTGAGGCCGCAGTTTCTCAGCATCTAAAAGACAAAATTTGGAGGGGGGTACATAGAGTTCGGTACCCTGTTGAAATCGTCGCGTGGCTTGGATAATTCCTTTGATGAGACGCTTTTTACAATCTGGTCCAATGGGTCTCCGCTTTGGCAGCTTCGCCCCCATAAGCAGGCTCTGCTTAGGGCCGGCGACCATTTAGACCCGGTTTGATTCAGTTCTGCTTGCCCTGAAGAAGGTACCCTCTTGCCCTGAAGAAGGTACTCGGTTACCGAAAGCTTAGCAATTACATGTTTCAGAGCACTGATTTTATATTATATTCTTGCTTTCCATAAGGGTTCTGATTCAATTGGAAGCATGAGTCAATTAGTATACGGTAATCTAATAGTATAAAAGATGATAAAATAAATTGGTAAAGTTTAAAATATGGGGAATAAACACTGTAAAGCACAGAGCACAACTAAATCTAACAAAATGTTAAAGGTACTACATTAAAATGAAGAAGTATTAAAAAACACTAAAATTCCGTTCACCTGGGATTTAAAATACAAAATAAATACATGTATATTTCAAAACAAAAGTGGGATAAAAACGTGGAGTAAACATGAAAATTAAAAATCAAAAACAAAAAGAGAAGAAAAAGCAAATAAATATTTTCAAGTACTGCATGACTAAAATAACTCGGAAGAAAACATTAAATATGTTAAAACTCATTAATGAAAGAACATGTACATGTACATAGACAACCTAATAAAAACAGTAGTACAGCATATTAAATAATGCTTATAGAAATAAAATTGTATTGAGAACAGATAGACAACATGAAATAGTGAAAGACGTTAATTATGGAGAGATTTTAACTATTAAAGCGATTTTGCTTCTCTCTGAGCTGTGGTCAGTTTGTTCCATCCCAGAGTCCCAAGTATCAGCAGGTTGACATGGTTTGTCAAAGCATGATGATGGACTCAGGTTGTTCATGCATTTGTAAACTTCACGTATTTTGTGGTTTGCCCATCAGGCTGACAATGATGTCCACAAAAGTGCCCCAAGTAGGTCCTAGAAGTGAGTTCTGGGGTGAGCGGCAAGTATTAATTTTGCAAGTTGGTTATAACGAGTTTTGAAAGCTTGTTGGAGTAGCTACATGCACAACTTGACCAAGCATGGTCACAGTAATCAAATAATGGTAAGATCATGGCATGACTTAACATTTGAAATGTAGAGCTTGGAAGACAGGATTTGCAGAATGCTGCAAAAACCCATTTTGGTCGATATTTTCTTGGCAGTAGCATCAACATGATTAGTCTATTTAAAAGTCTCTTGTTCATTAAAATTGCAATGAAATTGCAATGAGGGTTTTTCTGTCAGCCTTTTTTTTGAATCCATAAATGTTTTGCGGAACATACTAAACTTGTGCAAAACAGTCAATTCCACCAAATTTGCAACAAATATAGGATGATGCTTTTTTTTTGGTTTTAAGAATTATAGTTTTTTCTAAGCCTAAACACCTTGGACTGAAAGTTTAATTGAAATCTGGTAGCACATAGTCAGCAAGTATCCCTTGTTGGCTTCTCGGCATCACAGAAAACATTAGATGCTCAATGTGTGGATGAAAATGTCATCTATGTCATCAAACAGGTCTAGTTTCAAAACTCTGTAATACAGTTAAGCGATGTGGCATAGTCTGAACGTATCACCTCCTGACTGATTCTGGGATGGTGCATGCTACTCAGGTTCTGTTTGTTTCATGCAGATTCGGATTGCAATCAATCTGTGATTTGTCAGGTGAGATTTGAAGCTTTTCATGGTGGTGGTAGCAAGTAAACTAGGTTTGCAGTAGCACCAGTCAGTATGCTCTGACGATGGACAGAGCATACTGTCCAAGACCACTGGTTCAAAAAGAGATACATGTATTTCCATGGTGCTGCTGCAAATGTATTAGTTTACTGTGATTTGTTATTGGTTCACTGACTCTAGAACCTGCCTAGTGGATAGCACAAACCAGCTTTTGGATCACTAATCGTGATCCAGATCTGTCCAAAACAAACATACTCCTAGACTGAGAGTGCGTGATCAGCACTGTCATTTCACTTACATGTACATGTACATTTATCTACAGCATTCCTGTTAAAAATCTTGAGGTTTAAGTCTTTACGAATACAAAGTTCTAATTAAATTCTGTTACAGCTACCCGGTAGCTAAAAATTACGTCATAAATTGGAAATTCTGTTTGGTTTAGGGTTATTATTGCTGAACTGTACAAGGTTTATACAAGAAGTGTATAGAAGTTCATTTAGGAGGTAATAAAACCCTTGTTTGGCTGTGAGGTAACTTTGAGATTTTCTGCCCTGTTCCGGCCTCCTTGTTAATCTCTATAGTGGAGAATTCAGTGGAGGATTGGGACATGCATCAAACAACAGGGTCTGGGTCTGTCCTCTGAAAGTGAAATGCAACTTTGTACAGTGGAGTTTGTACTTCAGATTTCTTCTGTCCTACACCTGACATAGTCCAGCCCCGGCTGGACTATGGTGTTATCAAGTGCACTGAAAATGATACAACCAGGTAAAGTCACAAGTCTGGACAATATCAGCCTATTGTGTCCTGAAGGAACTACAGTATATAAGGAATTGTCAGATCTTCTCACAAAAATACATGTACATGTATTTGTAAATCACTTTAAGGGGGGTTTAAGTGCCAGCTGACTAGAAACATGCCAACAGTACTCCCATCTTGAAGAAAGGGCAGAAGTACAAGTACATGTATCTCCTGTCAAACTATAAGCCTATCAGCCTCACATGTATAGTGTATTAAGCTCATGGAACATGCAGTACACATACATGTATACTGTTGACCCCTTCACGCTGGGACGTGTTAAAACATGCCGTAAAAATCGAGATCCTCAGCCTGCTTTTCAGCTATTATTCTCGGCCCATGCTCGAGCGAACACGTTGAAAGAAGGTAGACCCGGGCTCTTGTGTACATG